TGGATTGACCGTGCTAAATTACCCATAGTGCCCAGGGATGTGCAGGTCAGGATGGATTGGCCATGCTATAGTACCCAGGGATATGCAGGTTAGGGTGGGCTGTAGGGAGATGGATCTGGGTAGGATGCTCTGAGGGTCGGCGTGGACTTGTTGGGCCAAAGGGCCTATTTGCACGCTGTGTAGGGATTCTATGAATCGGTGTTCCTGTCACTGAATTCGCCCCCCTGCCCCGCCCCCCTCACTAACAACCCCCTGGGGGTTACCCATTGAGCAGAAACTGAACCGGGACCCCCAGCCCCATATCAATGCAGCGGCTACAATACAAGAGCAGGTCAGAGGCTGGGGATCGCGCAGCGAGTGACTCCTGTCCTGACTCAAGTTCCCCTCCGAGCCCCTGGCCACCCCGACTCGGAAATGCATCGGCCATTCCCTGGGAGGGGGCGGGAGGTGGGGGAACGGGATAGTGGCGAAAGCGGCCAACACAGTCAGAGACCCCTCCCTCCCCGGGTTACACTGTCTGCCGTCAAGGCACAAAAGTTCTGTTTTTAATTCATTCACGGAGACCAGGGGCGTCGCTGGCTAAGGGCAGCCTTTATCGCCCCATCCCTAATTGCCCCAGAAGGCAGTTAAGAGACAACCACATTGGCTGTGTGGGTCTGGAGTCACGTGTAGGCCCAGACTGGGTAAGGACGGCAGTTTCCTTCCCTAAAGAGACAGTAGTGAACCAGATGGATTTTTCCCAACAATCGACAATGGATTCACGGTCGCCATTTGACTCTTAATTCCAGATATTTTTATTGAATTCAAATCCCACCGTCTGCTGCGGCGGGATTCGAACCTCGTGTCCCCAGAACGTTAGCTGGGTCTCTGGACCAACAGTCCAGTGATAACGCCACTGGGGCCATCCTGGGCCCAGCCAGAGAGAGAATCGGGACTCACACAACCCCCTCACGGATTGAGAACCCATCCGTCCCTGCCCCTCTCTTCAGCCAGAGAGGGGGGCTCGGGAGCGACGCATGACGCGGGGGATTCGGGGAGTGGGGGGGCATCCAGAAAGGGTCACGCGCTGAGGTTGGGGTTGGGGGAGGTGCAAGGCAGGAGGCAGACGCCAAACGGGGTAGAAAGGGTTTGGGCGTTTGGGGGGGTGGGGGGAGCGGCGAACCCTTTAATTGTTTAAGTCGGACGTACACCATCAGTCCGAGGGACGGGAAACGAGACGGGGTCCCCGAGAGAGAGAGAGAGAGATATTCCGCGAGGGGTGCATACGCGGGTTCGGGACACTGATGCGCGCAGCCCTCCTGTCTTCGCGTCCTCTCCCGCAGGGGGCTCAGTCGAATTCCGGGTAGGAACTGGGGCTCGGATACTCGCTGTAAGCCGTCTTCCCCTCCGGGCTCCCCGAGGGCCAGGCCTGTCCGACCGGCTCTCCCACTTCTTGAGGTGACAGCTCGTCGTCGCTACATTCCTGGAGGGAGAGGGGTGCCAGGGAAGCCAGGTCGGAGCAAAGATGAGTGTTACTCCCATTCTGGGCTGGGCAATCCCCCCTTCCCCGTTCACTCCCGCTCTACACCGTCCCCATGGACCCCAAACCCCTTCCCCGTTCACTACACCATCCCCATGGACCCCAAACCCCTTCCC